TATTATATCATTAATTTTAAATTTTAATCTCATAAAATTTCTTCCCTTTTATAATTATTTTATATTTTTATTTGTCTTACTCTTACCTAATAATAGGGTTTTTTAATTTATTTTTTATTTTTAAACATGGAAAATTTTGGAGGAGAGAGATTTTTTTTAAGTCATTGATAAGACTCAAATTTTTAATTAATTTTACTTAAATATTTAAGATTTAAAAATAAATCATTAGATCTGAAAGTTTAATTCATTAATATTTTATTTTTTATTTTAAAAAGGACATTAAATTTTATTATAGCACTTCAATTTTACTCTCATTAAAAGTTCATATGCTCATGATTAGGAGTTTGGAATGAGTTGGAGTACCACTTTCGAAGGCTGAAGGCATATGGCATGTCCACTGTCAAGCACAAAAAAAGCGGCCGTCTGTGTTGGTTAGTTGCGTCTTGTGGGCGCAGCCAACAGTATCGTAAGGATCCCGCACAGTGTCACACGCAGGATTTCTCAAAACAAACTGCTCACATTCTCCTTTATTTGTAGCCGACGGCTAATTGGCTAAACGGCTTAGTACTCCATCGCTACGTGCATAATTTACCACTTGTGGATTGTGGTCCGGCGAAGACGTGAAGTTGACTTGCATACAAACTCTCGCTCGTGCCAAAGTTTCTAGAAGGCAAGAGCAACTCTTATCTACTCTAGTCTGCACGTGTACTCTTTCCTAGCATTAGGATTGATGATATCATATCAGAGCATTCTATGGTGGAAAACCAAGAAAATGACTGTCCAACTCCAACTTACAGGACCATTTTTTTTTATATTGATTGTAGGGTTGGATATAACTCTCTTTTATTTTTATTTTTATTTTTATTTTATTTATATGTTGTGTAATTTAAATTTAAAATTTTTTATTTTAATTAAAAAATTAACATTAAATTATTTAAATTATTGATAAATAAATTTTAATTTTAAATATATAATTATTTTATTTTTTTATATCACGAGTTAATATTAATTTTATCCTTACTAATACTGTATCAATATTATTAATTAAAGTCACAATTTTAAATTAAGTAGTTTTATTTAATTTAAATTTAACATCAAAAAATTTTTTAATTTAAATTTAAACATAAAAATTTATTTTATTGAATATTAATATTTAAATTTTAAATTATAATTTTAGTTTTTAAATATAAATTAAGATTTTTATTTTTTTAATTAAGAATAATGCATACTAATCTTATAATTTTATTTAATAAATAATAATTAAAATTTTTTATTTTCCTACATAATTTTCGTTAAATTATTTTTATTTAAATAAAAAATTTAATTATTATTTATTTTTATGTAAAATTATTAAATTAATTTAAATAAAATTAAAAGAATATGACAACTAAAAAAATAAGAGGGAGTAGTGTAGTTTGGCCCGTGAGAGGGCTTCTAGAAGAAGGGACTGCCTGTCTAATGTCTTTGTCCACTCAATACTGGACTGTCCCCAGTTTTTAACATGGGAAGGAAAGGACAATGAAAGTGAATCAAATTAATGAGAGGATATTTTTTTTCATCTTCCAATCCAATTTCAACCAACTTGTCATATGGAGGTGAGGAATATAGTTTGGCACGCGGGAAAGCTTCTAGATGACCTTTCTTCTAGAGGAAAAAGAAAGGGGGGGGAGGGGTGGGGCTTTACTTCTTTATGCATTAATTTCACACGCCATTGACGCCAACAACACAAGAAAAAAAAAATGGAAACAAGTTAACAAAATGAGACGGTTTGTTTTGATTTGATTATTGGTAGTAATTGGATTCTCTTTTGTATTAAAGTCAACTTTGTACACATTCATCTACCATCTCTTCTAGACACTTGACAAAAACAGCAATCTAAATAAATTAATTGCCCTACTTGATAGTTTTTCTTATTAGAAAAATATATAAATTTTATTTAATGAAAAGAATAGGTAATTCAACCTATTATAAGTAAATAATTTAAGGATATTTTTTAAATTATTGACTTTTTTTATTTATTTATATTTTACGATATTAAATATATTTACTTATTTAATGATATATAAAAATTATATTAAAAAATTATGCTTATATCACCACTCACCTATTATAATAACAAATACATTCCACAAAGTCAAGCGGTATAACTTCACTAAAACAAAATATTGAAGGCGAGAAATAAAGTATAACATCAATTAATTAGCATGCAAATTGGTAGTTAATTTGGATTAATTATTTAGTACTTCCCTTATAAACCGGAAACAAAGTTGACTTATTTTGAGGTAAGGAAATTGGTCAAACAAAAATTAATCTATTGTCTTTGATTTCTCTTCTAGAAGTTAGAAGTTTTTTTTTTTTTTTTTTCCCTAAATCACCTTCTAGATGGTTTATTTTTGTTTTCTTTAGTTTATAGTAACTTGATAAATAGTGACATATGACATAACAAAGAAATAAAATAAAATATATTCTTTAATGGGTAGTGGGAGGACTGATAAGTGACATCTACTTGGGGGGGTTAGGTTTTGTATTGTTTAGGGTGCAATCCAAGGATGGGGCACATGGGGGTCCAGTGTCCTTGTTTGGAAGTACTCATTTTTATCTTCACAAAACAAGACTCCCCGTGGCCAAAGGCCACAAGAAGAAAATGAAAGATTATCTATGATTTTAAAAGCACACAGCTTTATAAAATTCACCCATGGGTTTAATTTTGCTTCATTCCTCTTATATGTATGGCTCAAATTACACGTTTAATCTTAATTAATCATCCTCTTGATTTGAGACATATGTATTTAATGACATACAGGGATTTATTCACAACTTGTGTTAGAAGTAACAAAATTTCCAAATTAGATATTTTAAGTTCAAATATCAAAACTAATTACAAAAGGTTTAAGAAAATATAAATTTTTTTTTTATATTATATAGTCCATAGTAATAGCTGAAAACTAATTAAATTGTTTATTAGTAATTTTTTTATTAAAAATAAAAAATCATAAATTTAAGTTACATTGTATGCAAATGAGAGTGGGGTAAGAGACAAAAAGAAAAAGAAGTTATTTTTCATTATGTAAGTTAAAAATAAAATAAAAAATTAATAATTCAAGAAATCCAATTTTAGTTGTGAAAAAGCATTGTACAATTTTAACCATTAGAGGGGCAAACCCCCCTAATATTGAAAGCTCTCTCAACTATCTAATAATTCTTATTTACACCACAACAATCTAAATTGTAAAATAGAAAATTCTTCCAATCATGCATTGCATTGCTGCTTCAAAAACCGCTCAATTGGAGAAGGGCCTTGTAGTGGATCAATCCAAACACAACAAATGTGGGTGAACTTTTCTCTCCAAGCCCAAAACCAAGAATAATAAGGCCAGACCCAACTGTAATTAGAAACCCAAACCCAAACCCAACCAAAGTGCAGCCTAGTCTAGCCTCATAATAATTACTCCCTCAATTCTTCTTCAACACAATAAACCCTAGTCTCAACCAACACGGAAAGCAGAAAAGCTTAAACCCTAAATGCAACTTCTTCTCTAACACATTTATAGCTACTTCTGTTCTGAGTTCACTTTTTAGTCTCCATTACCTCGAATTGGCTTCACTGTTTCACAGCTTTAATGGCGGCTGGCTCTCGTACGAAGAAGAAAGGTGTGAAATCTCAGCTTCTGCCTTCAAAGAAGAAGCAAAAGGGTGCTTTGTTCACTGAAAAGCGCCCCACCAAGGCAGCAGATAGTTCGGAGGATGGTTCTGATAGCCAGAGCGAAGAAATACAAGAACGTCAGGAATTGTTTGATGGAGATGAGGAAATATCAGATTTTGAACATGGTTCGGAAATCTCCTCTGATGGAGATGATGATCTTTTGGCTGATGATTTTCTTCAGGGAAGCGACGACGATCAAGGTATCCTGCTTCTTACCGATGTTATTCATGTCTCTAGCTTCATAATTTGCATCAAATTTGTTATTTTTATTCTCTATATGATTCACTTTTGTTCCATAATATTTTACTGATGGTAGTTATCCCATTATGTTGTTCCAGAGAAAGGTTCAGACTCGGACGTGGGTTCTGATACGAGTTCGGATTCAGATGAATCTGACATTGAGAAGAAGTCGAGGGCCATTGATGAGCAAAGGAAGAAGGAGGAAGAAGATGCCGAGGCAGAAATGCAGCTTAACATTAAAGGGGAGGCAGATGAGTTTAGATTGCCAACAAAAGAGGTTCATATCTAATTTGAGTGAATTTTCTGTAGTTGATAGGTTCCAATCTGTTGTGGTACCTAACGTTGCTTACTTGCTGAAAAATACAGGAACTCGAGCAAGAGGCACAGCAGCCTCCTGACCTTCCAAATCTTCAAAGGAGGATAAAAGAGAGTTAGTCGTATTTCCACTATTTTTCCCTTTTCATAATGAGCTGTTTATGAGACAATTTGCTCAGTCATTTTTGTTTGGTTTAAATTCCTTTTGCTCTCAGTTGTCCGTGTGCTTTCAAATTTTAAGGATTTGAGACAAGAAGGAACCTCAAGGAAGGATTATGTTGAGCAACTTAAAATTGATTTGGCTTCATATTATGGATACAATGACTTCCTAATTGGGGTTTTGGTGGAGGTGAAGTCTACCATTCCAGTTCTTTTTGCAGTATTGTTGTTTATCTTATATCGTTTTCTTCCTTTTTTTTTTGTAATTGTGCATGTTTTCTTTTGCATTTTTCTGGGAAGTGGTGGAAGCATATGCTTCTGTGAGCTATATTAAAAAATCTTCAATTTCTACAACAGATGTTTCCAGTTGTTGAACTTATGGAACTTATTGAATCTTTTGAAAAGCCTCGACCTATCTGCTTACGAACCAACACTTTGAAGGTAAATTCAAATTCTTTATTGCTGCATTTTGATACTTTCTTTGTTGTAAATTTTCTACCTGTATTCAAATATTAATATTATCTTCTTTCTGTGTTTAGACTCGTAGACGGGACTTGGCTGATGTTCTTCTTAACAGAGGTGTAAACCTAGATCCATTGAGCAAGTGGTCAAAAGTAAGAACTAATTTCTTTCTCTCTCTCTCTCTCTCTGTTTTTTTTTTTTTTCCCACTCCTCTTTTATTTACATTATGAATAACATAAGGAATCATGCTGCAGTCTTTCTGCGTCATTTTTTAAAAAAACTTAGAAAAGAACAATATAAGGAATCACAATACCTTTCTTTGCAGGTTGGATTGGTTGTGTATGATTCACAAGTTCCAATAGGTGCAACCCCTGAGTATATGGCTGGTTTTTACATGGTATGTGGCCTTCAGTTTTTCTGTTGGTAATTCTAGATGATAAGTAGGATAACAGTGATGTCCTTGTACTGACTATTGACCTTTGTTTATGTAACAGCTGCAAAGTGCTAGCTCCTTTTTGCCCGTCATGGCTCTTGCTCCTCAGGAGAAGGAACGAATAATTGATATGGCGTGAGTTACTTCCTTCTGATTCCTGTCCCAGTGCACCCTATTCTTATTTACTCTCCTACTGTATACTACAGTGTCCAAATTTTTGTTAATCACATCTATGGTCGATGTGCATCCTCCAAGACAACAATTTATTAACTCATATATTTTCCCTTTCGGCAAATGACAATCTGTTGCAGTGCTGCACCAGGGGGTAAAACAACCTATATTGCAGCTCTTATGAAAAATAGTGGTATGTGTTAATCTCTGGTTGATTCAAGAGGTTCATTATCATCTGTGTTCTTGTATATGTTTGCTTTTTAAACATTTGCCTTCCTCATTATTATCTGTGTTCTGGTATGAGTCCATGTTCTACAATAGAGGTTCCCAGTCTGATGTTTTCCCAATGATCTAACGATATTATGACCAGGAATCTTATATGCAAATGAAATGAAGAAACCAAGGCTGAAGTCACTGACTGCAAATTTGCATCGCATGGGGGTGACAAACACCATAGTTTGTAACTATGATGGGAGGGAGGTTAGCATCTTTTTGTCTTTGAATTCCTTATATAAAAAGTGTGAAATCTGATCCTTGACACTGAATGTTGGAATTGTGTCTGTATGTTTAGTAGCAAGATGGATTTTGTTTTCAGATTTTAAATCTTTTGATGCCTCAGGTTGCCTGGATAATTTAGTAAACATTTAACTACATCTAAAACAAGCATACACTGAACCCAAGTGACCGTAGATCAATTGTGAACTTTTGATCTCACAAGCATATGCAAGAAGTTCTCTTTTATATTTTATAGTAGATCATACTTGTACGGGCTTAATGAATCCAACTGACTTCTTTTCTTTTCTAATACTGTTCAGCTGCCCAAGGTTTTGGGTCAGAACTCAGTTGATAGAGTATTGTTGGATGCTCCTTGCAGTGGTACTGGGGTAAGCACTGGGAGTGGAAATTTATGTTGCTATGGTTTGTTAATGGCTCATGGCTTCATGCTGGAAATAATGTTCTCTGTTTTGCGTGTAGGTTATATCTAAAGACGAGTCTGTTAAAAATTCTAAATCCCTTGAAGAGATACAGCAATGTGCCCATTTGCAAAAGGTATGCTCTCTTTGTGCATTCTTGAGTTCTTTTGGGGTGTTTAAACTGTGGTAGTGATTCTTGTTTGGGCTGGAGTTAGAGCCATGTACTAGCAAGAAAGATTAATAGTTACTGGATTTAACATGCTCAAATAACTCAAGGAATCTTCTTGTTCTAGTCTGTTAGAGAATTGGAAAATAGGATTTTAACCTTCTAACCGTTATTGTTGGTTTCACTTTATTTTGATATGCAATTGTTTCTAAAGCTTAGGTTTTTCTTTGCAGCAACTGATACTTGCAGCAATTGATATGGTGGATGCGAACTCTAAATCTGGAGGATACATTGTTTACTCAACATGCTCCATTATGATTCCCGAGGTGTGTCTGTGGATGCCTCTTTGTATTTCCTTTTCTGTAGTTTTTCCCTTCCTCTATTCTTATCTATACTGTTATCTTGGCAGAATGAAGCAGTCATTGACTATGCACTTAAGAAGAGAGATGTCAAACTTGTTCCATGTGGACTTGACTTTGGGTGTCCAGGGTAATTCTTCAGACTTATGCATTTTAGTAGTACTAGGTGAACCTCACTGATATCTGCTTTTAATGGACATTTTCGGCCTTTTTACCAGGTATATCCGTTTCAGAGAGCACCGGTTTCACACGTCCCTAGAAAAGACTAGGCGTTTTTACCCTCACGTCCACAACATGGATGGGTTTTTTGTAGCTAAGGTATTTCTTGAACCTTGGATTTACTTTTGCGAGCTAGAAAAATGTTACACCAATCAAAATTCAGGAAAACTTTGTCAGACATTTCAAAGCAGCAACTTTCACAGCTGTTTAATTTTTCTTTTTTTCTTCTTTTTGTAATCTTTAGTTGAAGAAAATGAGCAACGCCAAGAAAAATTCTGCATCTTCTGAAGATGTGGAAACAGTAGAGCAAACCTCCATACCAGATGAGAATGAAAATGAGAATGCTGCAAAGGAATCTCAACCGCAGTTGAAGAAAGAACGCAATAAAGGGAAAAAGGACATCCCAAAGAAAGTTGTGACTGAAAATGGCAATCCGGAGTCAAAGCCAACTACAAAAAAAAGGGAGAAAAGAAAATTTCCATCCAAGGAGGAAATCTCCAAAGCCAGGTATTTGCTCTTATTACCTCGAGCACTACTTTCCATCCATGTGAGCCATTTGCCCATTGCATTCAGCATCATAAAGCACAGCACGGTGGAATATTACAATTTGCTTCTTAGGGAAGAAAATTCAATCACCAGTTTTTTCTCACTTGATTTATGTTCTCCCAAATTTCTTGCAGAGAAGAGAAGAGACAAGCTTTGAGGAAAGAAAAGCGACCAAAGAGTGGATAGTGATATACGTCTTGATTATTCTTTGTATTTATGTTTTGCGCTATTCCCTACATTCTTCTGTCATCACTTGAGTTGTGCCTTAAAAATTTCTAACTTCGATAATTTAGCTAAGGTCAATTGGTACCCTTGGAATTCTAAGAAATTCACAAATGTTAAAGATGGTCACACAAAAGTCATCCATGAAGATTTTAGAAGTCCTACACAGACGCAAGGCATTATTTGCAAGATGTTGGATAAAGGAACATGTGAGAAAATTTTATGTGAAATTTTCTTGATGTCAAATTTATGTAATGATTGCAACTATTAAGCAAAAACTCATACACCCGGGGAAAAAATGTTAAAGAAAAGACTTGCCTTTGACCTGAAGTTGGCAAAAAGTTATGTAAAATAATCATAGATTTCGATGAAAGAAATATATCAAAAGTCTTAGATAAAGAAATAGCAAACTAATCTGCGTGAAAAAAAAAAAGTACAATTAAGGTTATTTTTCATTTGATATTTTTTATTTAACAATCTGATGAACTTAAAATATATAATTCATCATTTGAAGTAAGAAAAAAAAAATTCAGAATCAAAATCAAAAGCGTTGCTTTTATGCAAATTTTAATTTTGGGTTTATTAAAGATGACAAGTTGGAACTTGGGAGGTTTTAATGGCTCAAAAAAAGTTAGAGGGTTAAATTGATAATCGGGGTAAAGTTGTAGGGCTAAAGAGGATTTCCCCCATCTCTAAAACGCTAATTTACACAGGCCCTGACTCATCCCTCCATTAAACGCCAAAGGGGAATGCTAGGAGCACTCGCTCCAACACTCTCCTTTTGGCATCCGCTCATCTATTTAGCCACGTTGCTAACGATTTTAATGCTTTAACTGGGAACCGGTAATTGTAAGTAATTAGCTAAAAGACAAAAAAGTTAAACTAAAAACTAAAAGTAAAAGTTATGAGAAATAAGTTATCTTCATAGGCAAAATAATAATCTAAAAATTCAAACCAAATGGTATTTTACTATATTGTGGTGTACTCTTTTTTTTTTTAGTGGGTTCGAATCCACCTTTGATAAATTGTTTTAAAAAAAAATAATCTAAAAATAATGATAAATTGCATGAAAATTTATTGTTAAAATTTAAGGTAAATGACGGGTTATAAATTATATAATTTAAAATATTAAAAAATAAATTCTCTGTAAAAGTCATAGTCAGAAATATCTAAAAT